ACGTCTGGGGCTGCCTTGCTCACGTTCGTGCCTCTGGCACAGACAAGCTCACTGCCCGCACCCTTCCCTGCGTCTTCCTCGGTTTCCCCCTTGACGCGTTTGACTGGCACTTCTAGTCAATATCGTCAGCGTTTAGTGGAATAAGTCTTGACGGCTCAAGTTATATGCGTGGAGCTTCAACTCTAAATACTGGCTCGTTTGCATTCTCACCTTTTACGCAACAGCCGCAGTCAAAGGGGGTGTACATGGCAAAGGATACAATCACAGTGAGTAAGATTCTTTTGCAACTGACAAATGTGCAGATGATGACAAACGAAAATGTCATGGATTATGTCAATCGAGTCCGCACACTACGAGATCAATTGGAGAAGAGTCGTGAATACTTCTCTCGTGAGATGTATCTCACGGTCCTTCTTGCTGGACTTGGTCCCGAGTGGCGACAAACGCGCGCTTTCTTGCGCATGAATCCGAATCTCTCCGAAGCCGAGATTTCTTCATATCTTCAAGCAGAATAGCAAGATCTTGACATGTAGTCACAACGCAATCAGAAGAAGGGGATACACTTATGTTTTTACTCAAATCCAGAGCCGCAACAACGACTTCCCCCGAAATATCCCTTCTGTTATTTCTCCGAGAAACCATGACATACTTACCAAAGTTGTCGCAGTCGATATCAAAACCGTCGCAGTTCTTCACAACCATATCACCGTTCGCAGTAGTTACCAAAATCATATCAGCAAACGGAGCACACGACGTCCCAGACACAGCAGATGCAGAAACCACCGCAGAATACATCTTCATCACAGCATCGTCCCCCGGTCTTTGCATCTGCAACATAAGGAAAAGGAGTTTTTGGATGTTTTACAACAGTTAATATTTCATATACAGATTTCGAGACACAACTTGAAGAAACCACCAGTGCAGAGGGCATTCCCTTACCGCAAGTTTACGCTAACCTTGCTCGAATCATTTCAGGACCCAATACTTGGTATCTCGACAGCTGTTGCGGTTGGCATATGTGCTCCGCCGAAACAAGCTTCATCACCAACCAACGTCCACTTCGTCGTCCGATACCTGCCACATTCGCAAACTGACAAACTATTATGGCCAGATCCATTGGAAGTGTGCTGCTCGAGTCTGTAGACACGGGATATTCCTTACATGTTACCAATGTTCTTATCGTCGCCGGCCTTGGCTTCAATATTCTCTCAACAGCTCAAGTCCTCGCACACAAGATTCGCACACAAGGCAATTGTGATACAATGGATCAAGAGTTATGGCACAGCTTGACGAATACTTACCTTGGTCGCGCAGCTACTCAACATGGCATATCCGTTCTTCAGTTCACAGTACAGGGCACCTCGGGCGATTCTGAACGCTTCCTTGCTCTCGGTCCCTGGGATCATCCTGAGGAAACAGATTATCAGCAAGTTGATATTGATTTTTGAGCAAATACTGTACCAACGGCTTCTCGAACTGCAGCTGCTGTTCTTACCGCTTTGGATACTTGGGAATTCAATACCGCTGATGAAGGCGCCAATGCGTGGTGAACGTTTTATAACACTCGCGCCGCCTTCCAAGGAACTCCAGCTCCACTTTGGGGAGAAATCAGTGGACTTGCAGCTGACGAACCCGACGTCATCGAGGAAGCCGCGAAGGAAGAATTCGCTGAGCAGCCAAGTCTCCCAGTAGCTGTCGCAGGACCATCTGCCAACACATCAACAGAAGCATTATCAGATGTTGCCATTACAACTGCAGCAAAACCTTCAACTATTCCGTTACCACTTACCCGTTTCGTGGAAGGGGAGATTGACATGTCTCCAACTCTTTCTCCTTTCATCATTTCTTCATTTTATACTAACGCCGATTTCTATCTGCGATCATCAGGACATAAAGCCACAGAAGACATTTGGCATCAACGGTTAGGACATCCATCACAAGGGATTTTAAATCATTCAATTCGAGCAGCAGTTCTTTATAAAAACAGTCTTCTCTTACCTGACGGCACGGAGCTGAAACCACAGTCTCGACCAATGGTTTGCACCACGTGTCCGATCGCCAATCTTACCCACGACCCGTTTCCGAGTTATTTTCCTGGCTCCACTCGTTATAAACTGATGCAGAAAGTCTACAGTGATATTCTCAACTTACCTGAAGTAGGACTTAAAGAGGAGCAGTACGTGATTACCTTTATTGAAGCATCTACTCGCTATGTTTGGACAGCAAACCTTGCTGCTCGACATCTCGCCCATTCGGTCTTCGTCGCATGGCTCGCCGTCACTGAAAGAGAGTCTGGAGCTAAACTGCAAGAATTCCAGAGTGATGGCGCAAGGGAATACACGAGCAACGTTTTCACAGACTACCTCCAAACCCTCGGCATCAAACGGAAGCAGTCTCTGCCACATGCACATCAACAGATGGGGGTAGCAGAATGGATGAATCGAACTCTGCAGGAGAAGATGCGTGCTCTGCTGACGCAGGCAGCTTTTCCTCCTCATTT